TTTTTCCCATCAAAAAATTGCATTTATCACAATTTTTTTTGAAAATGTTCTGGGCTGTCTCTTTTTCTCAATTTGTTTAGTTATTTTATTAATTTGTTAATAATATATTTTTTAATTAATAAATCCTTGTAGTTAATGCAGAATTTGTTTGAGAATTTCATAACCTCTTCTGTGTTAATTTATGCAGCAATAATTTGTTTATTAAAATAAAAAAATATTACATTTAATTCTTTTTTCTGGGCTTTTTCGCAATATTTTCTATTAACTGAAGTTTCACAACATTCTCATTAAATATTTTATGAAAAAAAAAAATTATTTTTACAGAATTTTATTTAAAGTTTTTCAAACTTTTCTTATAATTTTCTTTAATATATATGTTTGCATATACATAAATTTAGTTTTTAATTAATGAATGACTTTATTAAGATATTATTTGTAGCATTGTTTTGCATTAAAACAATTTTTTAATATTTTTTTCTTAAAAAAATTTTTTATTCATTGAATTGATTTTCTGAATCACCCTCATAAACGTGAGTAAAAATTTAGGTCCCTAAAATATCTATATATGTACATACGAGTATAAGCATACACACGTGTAGGCACTGAATTCTAGTACACTGAACTCTGCTTTCGAATCTTTTTCCCAAAAAAAAAATCCCATTAACCTAAACAAAATCAATCAAAGAAATCAACGAAGTGTAATGATTTCGACATAATAAAAATTTCTATGAAATGTCAAATACTGGAAAATTATTATCAATAAAGTGAAACACACACATGCCCACACATACGAAGGCTAGCAATATATTGGATATAAGAGAGAGCATGCCGAACTGTCATACTTAATACTTTCTTTGAGGAATTTAATATTTAAGCTTATTTTCATGTATTTCTTTAATTTCTTATTAAAAATGTATTACTTATTTATTTCGAATAGTTTTTTCGTATTTTTATTTTACTTTAAACATTTTTTTATACTTGTACAATATTTTGGTTTATCTTTCATTTACTTTTTAGTTTTACTATTTAATATTTTTTATTTTTATTTTATTTTTATTTTCTAATTTTTAATTATTTTAAAAATCCTTTCATATTTTTATAGTCACTAATAAATATTTTACTTATTTTTTTATATATCTCATTAATATTTTTAATTTCATATTTATTTATTTTTTGATTCCTTATTTAATTTTTATCACTTTATATTTTTTTTTTATTCACAATTTTTTTTCATATTTATTTCTTTGACTTTTTATTTTTTTGTGTTATTATATTCTTAAATTTTCTTTACTATTTTTAAGTTTTTAATTTTATTTGTAACATTTTTTTATATTTTCACTTTTTTCAATTATAAAATCTAAAATTTTTAATTAATTCTTATTAATTTATTAATATATTTTCATTGTTATTTATATTACAATTTATTTTTATTACTTATGATTTTCTTTTACATTTTTTTTATTTTAAAAATACTTACTATTTTTACATTTTTTTTTGGATTATTTTTGATATTTTTTCCTTACTTTTTTCTAATATTTTTATATAAATATATTTCATGCTTTTTTATTTTTGTTATTTCATTTTTATTATTTATTATTTTAGTTTAGTCTTTATTAGTTTCTTAACTTGTTTTAATATTATCATTAAATTTATTACCGTATAGTTTTCAATTTCTTATTTGATATTTATTACTTTATACGTTTCTTTGCTTTATTAATTTTATTATTTTATTTCCTTTTTTAATTAGTTATTTATTCTATTTTTTTAATTATTTGCTTTTCAATATATTTTAATTTCTATTTAGTTTCCAATTTGTTTTCAAATTTTTATTTATGTTTTTAAGTTTTCATGATTTTCTTAAGTTTTATCTCTTTTTATATTTTTTTGTATTAATTTTCAGTTTAAAATAAAATTTCCACACTTCGTCTGTTAATCTATGGCTAAGCGCTTGCACACGTAGAGTAAAAAATAAGTTAAAATAAGCTGTGATTTTTTTTACATATTTACGCTTGTACCTTTGTACATATGTATTTATCATTCACTAGTACTTTTTTTCCAAGATTTTATTATTCATTCAAAAGTACCGGTGCTCTTTGCTCGTGCCTGTACTTAAGCTGCTTATAAAGCTTTTAGTTCTTCAATTAGTAACAATAAGCTTAATCTTTAAAATCTGCAACATGCTCTATGAAAACAAAAACAACAACAGCTACTACATCAAAGGGAAGAAGAAGAATACATTACTTAGCAACTAACAACATACTATTTGTTAGAAAAATTTGCAAACCAACACATACGCAGCAGCACACACATATGCACCTGAGTAGAGGAAAGAATAAGACTTAACCTACGATTAACTCAAGAGCATTGCAAAAGAGAGAAAGAGAGAGGGAGAACGTGTGTGTATGTGAGAGATATAGAAAGAGAAAGAGAGAGAGAGAGAGAGAGAGAGAGAGAAAGGGATCGCTATAAGCTTTACTCAACTCAATTGAAAGTACTTTTCATAATAAATTAGCACACATTTAGGTGCCTGGAAATTTTGTAAAATGGTATTTTCGATTAACAACGCAAGCTGAAGAACGTGCAAATGCATGAAAATTTTTAGAAAAGTAAAAATTTTTATTTTAAATTTTCCAGTAAGTAAAAATGTTAGCTTTTGGGGGTTTTTTTTTAATTTTTCATTAAACGATTCGTAAGGATACAAAAAGTAGAGAGCTGGAGTTTTGAAAAAATTTGAAGTTGAAGACTTTATACTCTAAGGTCTGTCGAATGTTTCTAACGTACTTCATGACCAAAATCCGTAAAGAACCGACTATAGCCTTTACCACGTAGCTCCGATAACGGCTAGCTCGTCTAGATCAAATAATTATAGGCCCCAGAAATGAGCTGTATCGACGTGTTCGAACCAGAAGGATCAGAGGTGTGTTAGATGAGTTGGTTTTAGTGGACGGCGGGCGGGTACTTATTGATGGTCGAGTCTGTTGAGGTAGAATTTAAGTCTATTACAGTATTCAGACCTTTATTAGGTCAATACTGCTCGGGTCTCGCGAGTTTTTCTTCAGCTTTAGGTGGTGGTTGGTTGGTCCGACCAACGTCATTCACAGGCAGTCTAGGTAAGTGTTGATCAAGGTTTTTCGGAATGCCTATACGTCCGTTTGATCCGTTTTCGGTGGTCTAGCTTCCAACATCGCTTAATTTATAATCCTTAGTCGGTTATAAAATCCACTTTCAGAGGAACCGAGAAAGTCGATGTGAAGTTAAAGGTGGATTTACTAGTTTGAAGGACTTTTTAATGAAGAGTCAGTGATCGTCGGCAGTTTAGAGGCATACAGTCATCACCAAACATCCTTCTTCCATCCGTACAATCACCATCCTTAATCGATAGTACTTGTAATGTTCCCAGTAAATGTTCTTTGTCCAACATTATCAGCATACTCCTGCAGCGTCACTTTTTTGAAGACCTCTTTTATGTCCTAATGTTCCGGAAAGTTTTTTTCTAATTCTCGCTAAATTTACAACGTTGTCCAGCCTAAATTTATACGGTCGTGTAATATGGATGAAGTGGAGTATGATAACGCTTCTATCGTGCTATATAGAGTCTTTGATTTCGGTTCACAGAGAGACCCATTTCGACATGATCGGTTTAAAACTCCAATGAGGTCATCTTATAGCCATTGTTCACAGCAAGTGGGCCTCGGTCTTGAAACAAGCGTCTCGCTAAATGCATGTATATCTCGGAAGAGAATTCCGACTATTTGCTATAGTCTTGAAAAGGTTCGTTGACTATAGTTTACACAAATGAAACTCAGAGGAAAGAGTGTGCAGTTCTAAAGCTCACTTCACCATTTGTAGGCTGTTTTCAGAGGAGTGTTATGCTCCAAGGAGTGGACGACTGCCATAAACGAAAACCGAAAGCACGGTGCGACCAAGTGTCATGCCAAGTGTATGACCACAAAGTCTCCAGATCTCATTTGCGGTGGCAGCTTTGTGTACGAAATATATGGTTGTAAGTTAGGGATCTTCACTCACCTCGGTTTGGCCTTCTCAGTGTCTCGGTTTCAGGAAAAAAGAAATCATAATTCAATCAACCGTACCAGAGGCACTTAACCGCATATTGTAATCTCACTAATAGTTTGCGATTTTCTTATTGTTTTTTGAATAGTTATGTACTCATTTTGCTCCATGGCTCGGTTATCAACTGTGCAACTTTGATTCTCATACTTTTTTTCTGCCTTTTTTTGCATTTCGCCACTGCACCTTTGCACATTCGTTTTTTGCAATTTTTTCTCTTCACCGATAAGAACTCCAAATCCACTATGTAGGCATTATGTATATTTAAATTGAATTTCCGGCCATGCTGTCACCACTAATAGCAGCATATGGCACTTCCGGTATTGTTGGCACTTTGTCAGCGAAGCGCCGGCAGCGGCAACGGCGTCAATATTTTTGCCCATGCAAACGGCTGGCAAGATATCATTTTAATATAATTTTTAATATTTTTTAAATATTTTTATTTTTTCTGAAATTTTTTATTTGTTTTATCTTTTTATTTCTTCGTTGGAAGCATTTTTTGCTGCTTAACTTTTTTTTACATAAGAAAAACTTTCGCCGTTTTGATGCCTGCTACTAAGCGAGCAACATTAGTCGGGTAGTCAGCACTGCTCAGCGCCTCATGCGGCCCACCAGGTAGACGCTTAGTCAGGTTGGTGAGCAGGATTTGCGTTGAAATTATATTTCCGGTTTGAGACTTTTGCAATTTTTTTTTGCCATCAAACGAATTGAATATTATTCTATGTGTGTATGTAGGTATGTGTGCGTCCACGCGAAGTTTTATATATTTTATGCACTTTTTTGTTTATTTTTAAATATATATAAATATTTTTTTGCTAACTTTTTCAACATTACAACTTAAGTGAATTTAGTTGTTTTATACACCAAACCACTCTCTTAATCCATATTAATGTTTTTATCTCCCTCTTTTGCTCTCTTTTCGTATCTTTCAGGTCTCTCCAAACGTCCAATGGGTCCGCCACATCGTAAAAGCAGTCTACCAAAGCATCAGGAGGTGAAAAAGCGCTTTCTGGAAATTTGTGATACCAACTTCTCGGAGGAGGTGAAGGCCGCACTACGTTTGCCCGCATTCGATTCGTACGAGTGGAGTGATGCCGATGTTATACACTTAATGCAAACGATGTTTCTCGAATTGGGTTTTATCGACAAATTCAATATACCAATTGAGACGTTGCGCGAATGGCTGTATGAGGTCTATAAGCATTACAACGAGGTGCCATTTCATAATTTTCGGCATTGTTTTTGTGTGGCGCAAATGGTGAGTTGCTAGCGTAGAAATTATCGATATAAATTGATATTGTTTGCAATAAAATGCTAGAGCCTCGGTAGTAATTTTTTTCAATGAAATTTAAGGAAACATTTTTTTTTTTAAGTTTGAAAGCATAAAATATTTTTTTTTAATATTTATAAAATTTTTAAAATTAAAAAAAAATTTAAATATTATTTGATAACAATTTTTTATTTAATACACCATTACTTATGGCCAGGGATTAGTATAATAATTTTTATTGTTTGTGTTTTTTATTAAACAAAAATATATTAATTACAATTGTTTATTAGTTATTTTAACTTTTTTTTTTATAAATAATTTTATACATATTTTTATTGTTTTTTTTTGTTGTTAAGCTAAAATTCTTTAAATTATTAAACTTATTGATTTTTCATTTTTAATAGATTTTTGAATTAATTTATAGTTTATTTAATAATTTTTTTTATAACATTTTGATATTTACCTTGCTTTTATTAAACAGAATTTTCTTAACAACTTATAAATATTTATTTATACATTTTAAATATATTAAGTATATATATGTTATATATATTTTTTGTTTATTTATAAATAACTAATTTTTATTAAAGCTCGGCCGAAAGTGGCTTCAGTGGTTGCACAGCGCCACCTATATATACAGCTTTCAATTTTTTATAATTATTTCTTAAGCTAACTAATTTCGTTATTAATTTTGTTTTAATTTTAATATTACATATAATTTTTTTTTTTAATATTTGCATTTTAAATATTTAAAATATTTTTTTTTAATTCATTTAATAATATTTGTTTTTGTTGTTTATCTTTATTCATTGGAAAAAAAATCAACGAAAGTTTAAAATTAGTATGGTTTAGTAATTTCAGCAGTTTTCACAATATTATTATGAGTTATTATTTAACATTTGAACTTTTTCGATATTTTAAAAAATTTGTTTATAACTTCCTTTTGTTATAATATAGGGTTTCCTATTTTTTAATGAGATTTCTACCATCGTATAAATATCTTATTTTTAAGAATTTCATTCTCATTAATTTTTGAACTTGAAAATTATAAACATCTGGCAGCTTGCCCCTAGAACTTTCTTAACTCCTTCAAATTGATTCACAAACTGTTATATTTTGTAAAGCTCAATAATTTAAAATAAGTGGCAACGCTTCTGAGAAATACATGTTTTCATCTTAAATATTTTAAGTTGATTTCAGAGAGCAATACCTATTTTTGTAATGTTAGAAAATATTTTACTTAGCTTTTTTTTGTTTTTTGTTAAAAGGTAATATTAAAATGGTGTTAGCTCTCTTCCAAATATATACTATTATAGGCTTTCTGAAAGCATCACTTTTTTTCCTAAACTATAAAATAGCAATTATTTTATGATAACTTTAATTAAAAATTTGGAAGTAAATGGCAACCTTTTTCAAACAGAACTCATTTTAGGCTTATACTGAGGGAGTTATAAGTATTTTGCTTAATTTTTTAATAATTTTATATACATCGATATAAACATATATATTTTAATTTTATATTTGTATAACATATAGATTTTTAATATTTAATTTTTAGTTTTTTTTATAAATCTACTTGAGTTTTTTTCCACTTTTTATCCCTTGTTTAAATGACAATTCTGCTACCAAAAATTCAGATTAACACAGCTTTTTTCAACAGATAAGTTGATTATTTCCGCATACAAATTTTTCATTAAAACTACAAAAAGCTGGCAACTCTTCTGACGTTTATCTATATATTATACATAAAAAAATTTTTCAATGCAATTCCGATAATTTTAAATTCCTAAAAAAAAACAATTTATCATCAAGTTTTTATTTGTGGTAGTTGGCAGCATTATTTCACAAAAATTTAAAATTTTTTTATTTCCATCATGAAAGATCATTTTCACTTAACTCCAGCCACACTACGCTAACGCCCACGCTATCCCACTTATCCCAATGCCAGACAGTTCAAACAGTTTTCCACGTTTTTTTTTACTTATACAAAGTTGGGAGAAAAAGAAGGAACAACAACAACACCAACAGACTTCTTTTAACAACTGTCAAAGACCAAAAGAGTAATTGATTATATGTTTTGGATAAGAAAGAAGGTGAAAACAAAAGAAAATGAATGAGAAAAAAATAGCACATGAAGGAGAAAAAGAGAAAGAAGTAGGAGAACTTCAAAATGAAGCAGTAAGAAAAGGGAGAAGAAGAGGTACAAATTAGACTGAGAAGGGAAGAAGGAAAAAAAAGAAAACGTAAAGTAAAAGGAAAAGAAGAAGAAAAGCAACAGATAGAGGAAGAAAATGGAGTAGAAGGAGAGCAAAAAAATGCCACTTCATGCCATCAGTTTCTTAATTTTTCTTTTTGGCATTAAATATGTGAAGTGAATGAGTATAGATTGTCCATATGTATATTATAACCGTTAGACGGTCAATTGACTCCAACAAAGTTTATTTATATTTTTATTATTTCAGCGCACGTAATTGTCTTTGGGTGATTTGTTGAGTTAAGCTGATTTGCTGTTGTTGAATTTTTATTTAACTGACTAAGTTGATATATATATATATATATATATATATATATATGGAAGCATTCGTATGTATTTGTGTTTCTGAGTGCGTTACTTAGCAAACATCCGGAAGCAACTGGATTTCGTCTATCCACATCATAGGTCACCATGTCTGCCATTTACAGTGAATTAGTGAGTTTTAATGATCCGATTGGTGGGCATAAATTACCATTTATTCCTGCTAAGCGGTATACTAAAAGATGTAAGTAAAAGTATACGGGGCTTTGCGAGAGACAAAATATTCATTAGTTTTGGTAGCGCACAGTTTTTAACAGAGAAAATATATTGCGCCTGTTGATAGGCTACGCATGTGAGGTGATTCCCATTAAAGAAGATCTCTAAGGCGCACGCTTTGGTTTTTTGGTTTCAAAACTGTTTCACGCATTTAAACACTATTTGAGAATGATTCAAAGCATAAAAGCTAATATTTTTAGAAATTTTGTTGTTTGATTTTCAAAAAAATTATATATTATTCTATTTTTTATGTTCGATTTATTATTAATTCTTATAAATTTATATACACATTTGTGCTATTCATAAGTAATTATAAATTTTTTTGGAAAATATGTAGCAGATTGTTGCTATCTCAACACCCATTGACTTTATACTGCCCAATATTGAAGCATAACCCTAGGCGCTTTCTTAGTAATTCAAGCGAAAAATATTTATTGGGTCATATATTTGGAAACAAAATTATTAAATATATTAAAGAAAAAGTATGAAAAACAGAAAAAAATGCTGGCTCATGAAAGTTATATGTTTCTCCTAGAATTGCTAAAAATTAAAAAAAATATTAATTAAAAAATAATAATAATTTTAATAGTTTAATATTTATAAGCCAATGACATACACTTATGAGCACTAGATTTTTTCTTTTATGCCTTTTTATGTATACAACGACGGCATTTGTTATTGTTTGGTTATACATTTGCAAAATGAAATTATACTAAGCTTTGAAGGCAATTAGCCACTGAGAAGCGCCTTAGGATAGGCAATTAATTTTAATTTTTTTTTTTTGAATGGAAATAACAGATTTATGGCGTGGAAACTACAATAAATAATTAAATATAAATATGCAGTAAATGAAAGATAAAATAAAAGTTATGTGTATTATCTCAAATGAGAGGCTTTTGTAATGAGTTTTAAGCGTTTTAAATAACAAAACTATATAATGAGCAAATAAAATACGCCTTAGGATAGGCTACATATTATTTTGTATTTCCCTCAGAAAGCAACTTCAAGTCATAGAGTAGGGATGATTTCTATGAAATAGGTTTTGAGTTTTCGAAAATAATCTCCATATCTTAAAATCTCCAAGTTTCAATAGTCTCAAAATTTCAATCCTCAAATTTTGAAATTTCCAAATTTTTAAATCAACAAATTAAAAATCTTCAAATTTTTAAATGTTCAATTTTCAAAACTCTCCCCATTTCAAAATCTACAATTTTAAAATCAACAAATTTTAAAATCTACAAATTTTCAAAACTCTAGAAATCAAAATATGCAGATTTTGTAAATATCAAAATCTACAAATTCTAAAATCTCTAAATATCCAAATTTCGGATGTATCTATAATTAAAACCTCCGAACCTGTAAAATTTTCAAATCGTTAAAACTTATAATTCCTATAACCTCAAATTTCAAACTTATATTTTCCAGTGAAACTAATCTCAACGAATTTACATAAAACTACAAAATATTCAAGAAAATAATTCTTTCTAAATTTTCCCAATTTGCTTACTAGTTGAACTCATAAAAAGTAGAACGAATTTCTATAAGCGAGTTGGAAACTCAATACAGTTTTATGAAAAAAATTGAATTTTCCATCATCCCCTGCCCCCCTGTTGCTGCACACACAACGGGCTCACCAAGGAGTATTTAGCATTAAAAATGACAAATATTTACTAACATTGATCCATTGGCAAACTAAAGCAACCCCGCACACGACCTTAATGCGCATCATAACCAGTAGCCCAAATTCGAGATGGAGAAAGAGAATACTTGTTTTTTACTACGGCATAATATTTTTTAAAACTTTTAAACTCGCCTGGTAAACCTGCAGGGCTTTGCTTGCTTGTTTGCTTGCTTGCTATCCCCATACGCTTGGCAATTCGTCGTTTACTGAAAAAGCGCACAAAAATTATTAATTTTTTATAAGTCAAACAACAGACATACGTTGGAGCTAGTCCGCGCTCAGTGTGGTAATACTTGCAAGTATATGTATGCATGTATGTGTATGCATGCGCACATGTTGACTTGTATATTTACGAGCACTTGGCTATGGACGCTCGCTTGAGTCACATGAAATTTTAATATGACACGCTGGCGAAAAATAAGAGGCAAACGCAAAAATAAAAAAAAATATGTAAATAAAAATTAAAAAAAAAATTAAAGTAAATAAATTTAAAAGAAAGGCTGAAAAATAAATAAG